AAATCGAGAACCGGAATTCGGCCCGCGGGGATCGTTAGGACGGACGGCGGAACGATTATTACCCCGACGGATCCCCAACGGTGCCGTAAGACTATCCGGGCCTCGCCCCTACCCCGACCGCCCCCCCCCCTTCACCCACCGCACCCGTAGCTAATGGCTCGGCGCGAGCCCACCTCCGGGTGACATAACCCCGGGGCCGATAATCTCGACGCCGCCGCGGCGATCCCGTATAATCCGTTTATTGGCGGAAATGTCTTTTTTTTTATTTCTAGTTTTTTTTTTTTTTTTAAACGTCCGGAAGTCTGGTCCGCCGTGGTCCGGGTCGATACCTGTGTGTACATACGTATTTATATATATATACACAGGTATCAATAACGACGCCGCCGAGTTCTGGGGACCCGATTCCGGCTCGGGATTTTTTTTTTTTTTTTACGACACCGTCATCCGGCAACAATAAAACGACTATAATATAATATAGCGTTTCGCGACGCGCGCGTTATCATAAAACGTGATGGAAATACCGGTTTCGCGTTTTATAGACGATATTTCGGTATAGCTAAGTATACATATATATTACGTAGGTAATATATTCTTCCGCAGACAGTATACACCTACATTTTTTTTTCGTCCACCCCCCTCTACCCCCGCGCGATTGCCGCAGTATACGACCCGACCGCCGCGGTGTTTGGAGATTTTTCGCGCCGAGAATAATAATAATAATAATAATATCCACTGTGTATACGCGGAAATCGGATGCGAAGATAACCGCCGCCGTTTATATTTACTTTTTATCGCGAAAATGTCTAGAATTCAATTTGCTCCTCGCTCGCCGTCGTCGTAAATAAACAATAAATCGGGAATCGTTACGTCGCGCGTCGCCGAGAGGTGTCGGTGAAAAAAAAAAAAACAACGCATACTCGCCGCCATCCGATAGGGGGGAGGGGTGTCGAGGGGTTATGGTTGACGTTTTCGGCACTCCGCATTTGGGGAAACCGTCGTCGAAAACACAGACACGTCGTTGCAGACCGACCGTTAAACGATTATAAGTGATGAGGACCTGGTAGTGGGCCCCGAACGAACATCCGGTGGCCTAATCGGGAAGGAAAAACGGACATTTTTTCGGTTTTTTCCCTCAACGAAAAACATTGATTTATCGTAAATAATTCCGTAGATATGTATTGAATAATATTACACATGTCTTATCAGTTGTGGTCGTCAATGATGATAATCTAATTGAATTTACCAGTCCCGTCAAAAACGCTCATAGTTTATTACAACGCGAGTACATATAAACTAATAAAATTTAACTATAAGTGAATGAGAATCGTGCTATACGAGGGGTTTAGCAATGACAATTATTAAAATTTAAAACTAAAGACATTCGCGGTGCCTTCAGTGTTCCAATAAAATCTCTTTGGATTCAACAATCGTTATTTTACTATTACAATTATTACTATCGTATAGTGGTATTATATGCAAGTATTTCAAGTAAAAACAAAAAAAAGAATATAACATTTTAAAATTAGTAATATTAAACGTTTGAAGATTAAATAACACGAACAGATGAGCTTTTTGTAACTATGAAAAATAATTTTTAAGTTATTGTGATGTTTTCTTCTTTGTAATCAAATGACGAGTGCTTTTATTCATACAATTGTTTCGTTAGTGACGTCGTGAAGTTTATGCATTGATCCTTTCAATTGGTGGACAAGGTCTTCCCTTTATATGCCGAGGTTTTATCCGCCGGCTAATAGGTCAATGCATGCAGCATACGCTACCAACCCGGTAATAGTTGATGAACCCGGGTCAGCGGACTGCATTATATGTTTCTCTCACTAATTTTTGTTTGGTCAAACAATTATATCCATTGGATCTTCCAAATAAAAATTATGTTAAAAACTACCAAAATAAAATGACTGAAAATATCTCATAAGTCGCCAAAATGATTTTAAAATTTTACCGTGTCTAAAAAAGGCAAATATAATTCTTTTGGAAACAATATTAGTCTTTACGAATTTTAAATTCCGTGTGGAGCGAGAAATGTATTGATTTTACAAATATGTTTATGTTTATTTTTTTTTTTATTTTATTTTAATGTGAACACTTTTTATATCCGAAAGCTTACTCCGATTATCAAGTATTGCATATTGTCTGAAAGGAAATGCACTTTGAGTGGTAGTTTAGAGAAGTGTTCACTAATATTCGAGATAATGAGAAAAAACTGGTTCTTTAGGTTAAAATTGATTGATAATTAAAAATAAGGCTCTCATTGGTAACAGTTTTTATTTATTTTTCGTTATTGTTAAGTTTTTATTATTTTAAATCTTTTTTAAACAATCACTGTCGTTATAGAAACGCACATTCTTGTAATCATTTTACCATACTATGGCATAATATATATTGTTGACAAAGCAACACTATCAACTGAACCCCGCTCAGAATTGGTTTTTCGTTAGCAATCGTTTATCATCGTTGCATACTGAAATACATTTGATTTCTATCTGTATCCTACCTTCCCAACTTCCCACCTACAACAGTGGCTGCGCACACGTGTAAAGTATATCCGTTCGTTTTTTTAAATGAATTACAAATTGCAAATAATTTAACTATTATTTTGGTAAATTTCCTGTTATTTTTACTTGTTATCCCGGTTTTGTCAAATTATTAAGAAAAATTCACGGAAAATTAAAAAATAGGACTTAGTTAAACCCCAACTAGATTATAAATTAAACGAAAAAGTTCTACTGTTGTTTTTTTTTTTTATCGGAACAAGTTTTTTATTTGAAAAATCGTTTTGACGGAAAAAAAAAATAAAAACTTTTAAAATTCCTGTAAAAGTGTAACACTTTCTAAATGAAAAATAATATTTAAGTTTGATTGTTAATTATTATCACTGGTACGTCATAAAATCGATAAATCCATAGATTTGAAAACTACTCGTATTCAAACCTTATTTTGTTAACATCTCAACATCTGACTAATTATGTGTAGTTTAAATTTTAAAAGCGAAATTTATTTTACGTAATTTATAGTTTATGATTAGCCAACAGTCACGGAATAAATGTTCAAAGAAAAGACAGTAGAACTATTCGCTATTTTCTAAAGATTTCCTATGGCCGAAAAAGAAGCTAATAAAATTACGATACAAACGGCCAATTCAATTTCAACATTGAGCATATTCAGAGGGAAAAAATTTAGGTTTTTTTTTTTTTTTTTTTTTCGAAATTTTTGTCCATACCCATTTTCGCGCCGGCCGGAGTCAGGTAATCCGATTTTAGAAACGTTTATCCCGTCCGGAACAAGTTATCGGTTATAACCGGGTCCGCGTCCGGTCAATTATACAGTCGCCCCGTTAAAACCGTTCACCTTTCCCGTCGGGTCGCTCGTCGCGTTGTTAATTTCACGTAACCCCGCCGCCCGTGATGGCGGATGCGTCGACGGTGCGCGGGGGGGGGAGGGTCGGCTACGTGTCGCCACACGGTCTTTTCTTCCGCACGGTTGAGCGCCCCGACTGTTACATTATTTATATTGTTATTATGATAATTAATATAATACGCGCCGTCAACGGCACGCAACTCGACATTATCGCACTCGTTCGTCGTCCGTCGTGCGAGACAGACATCCGGGTCGCCGTGAAATCCGCCGCCGCCCTGCCGCAGCACCGTCGTCTTGCCGCGGCGCTGTTGAGGCGCCGGCGTTCGCGCGCTTCTCGAACGCCGCCGTCGCCCCCGACGTTTGCCCGTTCCGCCCGCGCCGCGCTCCGCTCTTCGCCGGTTCCGGGGGGCCCGGACCGTCAATCCCGCCGTTTTCTAAAGATGCTCTACGCGCGGAGCCGGGCGACAAACCGTTAGCGCCTCAATGACGCGTGCGTGCTGCGGTACGCGTTGTGCGCCGTGATCGTTACCGCAATATACGCGTACGCTCGCGAACAACGCGGACTCGCGGTGCGGGGCGGGGCGCGTGCGGGCGTTCCGGTGTTCGTTTCGGCGCCCGGGAAGTGTTTCCACTTTTGGCCCGTTCCGATCGTGCGCTCGCGGAACGGCCGCGACGGCGGGCCACCAACACGGCACTCGCGAAATCGCCGCGGTCGAGTCTCACAGTAACGATCGGAAAACGATTTTTTTTTTTTTATACGTATATATAATTTTCCCACACCCCCTCACTCACCCACTATAACGTGCCCGTGGTTTTTTTCCCGATTGACAGCGAAAACAGTGAACGCACGTAGATCGCCGAAGTCCCCGCCGAGACGGAGCAATTTGAAGTTGTTAACGTCGATAGCATTAACACAATTCGACACGTCCGCGCGCACACGATAAAAAACGGTGGGGTGAATTTGAATCGAAATTTTTTTTTGTATTTAATTACGGGCATTGACTAATTGTATATAGAAATTAAAATGATAACGTTACGTGACAAACGGTCACCACAATGTTATAACGTTTTCTACCTGTCTGCACTAGTCAGCGAGTTTTACTATGGTATATGCGATTTTTATTTCGTTTGGCTCTGAGTAATTTTCCATATAATATTTGTTGCTTTTACTTATTGTTTTATAAAAGTTTTCTAAATAATTTTTAGGAAAACTGGGAAAAAAATTGCGGCCATAACGGTGTAATTTTTTTTTAGAATTTTTACGAAATACTTGACCTGTCTTAAACGTGGTCAAATATTCAACAAATTTTTGAAATAATTATAGATATTGGACATTTTCAAAGTTTAATACTTTTTATTTGGTTTTATGCGGACGAAATTGTCTTCGTCAAACCGAAATGCTCAAAAATTAAACACGTGGTTCATTGTATATTTTACTTAGTGGTAAAAAAAAAGCGTTGAGCGTTATGCTGTGTTTTTTTTTTTTTTTACATGTTTTAAGTTCAAATTTCTATAAGAATTCTAAAAAAACTTACGATATTTAACAACATACTTAATCAAACTTTGCTCAAAATCGTATTTTGTCAGCAATATCGTTTATCGTTGCATATAGATAAAAACTGTCTAACTTTATTTATTCTACCTTCAAAATTTTCTACCTACAATAGTAGTAAGTCCATCGCCAATTTCAGTTTTATTTTTTTTGCTTATACATTTCCAAAAACTAGATTTGTCGCAGCTGGAGTCTGATCAAGTATTGATTTCATTATTTTCCCGATTTCATGTCGTCGATAAGGCACACTATTTAAATATTCATAATGTAACAACACCGCAGCTGCTATCCAGACGCAAACGAGTATCTTCTCGGTTCGTAGGACTACATACCCCCTACCCCCTTCTCCCCCCGGGTGAACGTAACCGCAGACGACGGCGAAAAACTCGTACGCCATTTATTTACAATATACAGAACGTCATTGGACAACACAAAAAATCAATTTGCCCGTACTTTTACGGTATATAATATCATATCATGTCATCCGGGACACTGCCATCCAGCACCATTGTTTACTGTCTTTTTTAGGAGAGGTGCGTCACTACACTTCCGCTGACGAACAAAGTTTGTGGTCCCCGAGCGACTTCCTTTGTTACCGGACTATTCGAATCGGGGAGACGGGTACCTTCGGTATGATCATAAAGGACATTTTATGGCATGGACATAGATAGGAAACATTTTCGGCAGAGGGTTGTTTTAGGTTGATATAATAATAATATTTTAGTATATGAAAAAGGAAAACCACGTGGTCATCGATAAATAATATCGAATACATAAAAATTAGTTTGCAAATTTAGGACGTATTGCATTATAACTTGTAGGTGCAGTTGATACTACCGAGGATTATTACGATGAACCGTTACCCTTATAATTACCATTTCAGCGCTGTCAGTCATATAGATGTACTGTGACTTACTTTTCTCTCGTCTCCTCTAGGTTGTGCCTCTAGGATTTTCAAATTGGACGAGATGAATATCGAATACGGGTAGTAAATGATAATTAAATTTAATAATAATGTAAACAATATAATATTATGTCTGAATTGATATTTTTTTTTTTTCATATTCTTGAGGTTATTTTAGTAAATATTTCGTACAAACCGTTATTGTTGGTGAGTATCGGCATAAAACGATATGGTATGTCGGCCGATATTGAGTATATTCTAATATCGAACGTGGGTTTTTATTCGAAACCGACATTGGGCCCGATATTTTGGAAACGATATTTTTACTTTAATAATTTAAATCCAAGGATGATTGTACAATTATATATTGTAAACATGAACAATATTTTAAGTATCGGGTATTGTTATTCGAATATATCCGATAATCTCAATGTCGGCTTACGGGTTCATCGAGCATCTGAAAAAAGTCTCGGCTACCTCTTTGGTCTAAATTTTAAATTGTTATAACTTATAAACGGTAAAACCCATTTTAGTGGTACACAAATATATCATACATCAACACTTTGAAAAAAAAAAATTATATATTCAAATGTGTATTAAAAAGCGGGAAGGGGTTTTTTTTTTCAAAATCAAAAATATATATTATTGTTTGAAGTATAAGGGTGAAATGATAATATTAGGTATTCGTTTTAAAATAATGCTTAAACCATTGCACATTGACATAACGATTGAACAAAAATAGCAATCGAATTCACAAAAAATTCTTGAAGAAAATTGCTGGTCTATAATAATTGGATTACCCTGTATACTGTATTGGTGGCATTTCGTTATAAATTTATAATTTATAATCTAAGTTGAGTGCACCAACGACGATCGGTTGTACCGTGGAAATTTGTTGTTTATGTACAAATATGTTAAACAGCGACACTTCTACTAACAAAACACGCGAGTCACAAAGACTTCTCTCGCATTGTTTTTGATTGTTAATAGATTAAACACTCGGCGAGAGAATGGTCGAGCATGTAAAACAAGCATTGCAGAGTGTTGAAAATCGTTTATTATGAAGAAAAAAAAACCGAAATAGTTCGTTATTTGTGGATCCAATGTACTGCTTTTCATAGAGGAGAAGATGGCAAATAAGAATATTTAATATTGGTTAGTTTAGTTTATATTTGTGCGTGTTAACGAAATACAATGCTCGGATAAAACCGTAATGATACAATCGAATCGAAATTTGTTTTCCGAAAACCGTTGTTAAGCTGAAAAAAAATTATTTCCATAAAACCAAATAGCTAAATAAAAAAAAAACACCTAGAACAGTTCACCGTGGCGTGTGATATCATTATAACGTCCGTGTCAATAGTAATAGTTGCGTATTATAATAATGTATGAATAGTACGTTGACGGTTTCGGCGAGTGAAATAATCTTCCCTATATCCGAGCGTTACGAGTCTAATGCGTTCTGACGGGCGTCCGGGCGTTCGGTTCTGTCGACGGCGTGTGCAGTGTGTTGAATTTCCAAGCACGTACCGATAAAAATGTAAGAAAATTGATGACCGAATTATTTCCTTTTTTTTATTTTTTTTTTAACACACGACGACGTGTCTTAGGAGTGTTCTCCCTCGGTCAGCCGTCAAAACGACGACGGTCCGTTTCCTTATTATTTCCCGTCCTTTTGTCAGTTAGCATTATATACTTGTTGAAACGCAATAGACATTTTTCGAGGAGTGAAAAAAAAAAAAAAATAGAAGAAAATAAAACCACGTTGACACGTGGACCGGACGATCATGGTAAAACGTGCAGAGTCCGAGGAAAAACAGACCGGTCAAAAAAAGCATAGTGCGTGCGTATAACGATCAACAATTTAAAAAACAAAAATATTACAGCAGTACCATGCCTAAATATTAAAATTAAAAAATACTATATCAATGGACAATAATAAAAAAAACGTCTAATACTGAAGACGGGTGTGCTACTGTTGTGAATCGAAAGTTAAAAATTTTTAGAATACGTAAAATTATACAATTTATATCTATAAACAACGACAAAACCATTGCTAACGAAAAACGATTCGGAGCAAAGTTCGATTATACGTGTTTTTAATGACCGCAATGATTACGATTTTCATCAAAATTTAATTTTAAAACTTTTATCAAAAAAAAAAAAAAATATTTTTTTTGATGGTTCACTAAATATTACGTGAAAAACTTGCAAAATTATAACGTCTATAAATGGCTCAATAATGGCGCGAACGTTTTTTTTAAATTCACCACGTCTAGAGAATATAAATACGAGTTTTTGTAAAAAAATTTAAATTGCGCAAATATTTTTAACTGAATTACATAAAAAAAAAGGCATTTTTTTCGTAAATTTGTGCGTTCCGTTCTGTGTAATGAAATTACCTTTTGGAAAAAATCCTACGCTTTATTGTGCGTTCGCGTGTTTTCGCGCCTCCCCAACACAAACAGTTCTGGTTACGCCGCCGGGCGCCGAGAGATTCAATTGGCGTGAAACTGTGTGAAACCCACATTCTTGTCGACGTAAAAACCATCGCCGATCGGTCGCGTGTTCCCGTAGATATCGTACCGATCGGATAGTGTCCGTAAATACGCGCACGGTGACGGGTGGGGGTGATGGGGCGGAGGGGGGTGGAGGGGGGCCGCTTCCTTTCGCGATTATCAATAATAATTATTATTACGCTGGCGCCTCCGTTGTAATTAAACGTCAAGACAACGCGCGCGGCGGCGTTATAAACTGTTCCGAACGTTAATCAACCGTGAAGCGGCGCGCGCGGCAACCAAAGAAAATGGCCATTCGCGAGCGACGGCAAAGGGCGGGAGCGGCGTGGACGGAGGCGCTTTCTACCCGATTAAACGAACCGAATAAGCGACGCTTTTTTCGCCTTTTTTTTTTTTTTTTTTTTTTTACAATTTTTTTTTTTTTTTTTTTTTTCTTTTTCGGCGTCTTCATTAACGCGACGACGGCGACGCGCGACGGATACCGCCGTATAGTTTACCCCGAAACGTACGCAATTTTCCGTCGTTATCGGCGTTCTACCGGATCTGTGTACCCGCCGTACGATTGCGGGTAGATACGCCCGGTAATATAAATTAATATCTCTTTTTTTTTTTTTCTTTTTTTTTTTTTTTAACTTATCAATATAGAATTTGTTAAACTTTATTTTCAACTATTCTCCCTTATTACTGTTTATACGCCTCGAATGAGCGTTAATTTTTACGCTAATATTTTATAAATGGTAAATCCAATAGTATTAATAACAATATTAATTAATATACCGCAAAACATTCTGGCAATTTTCGATCTTCTAATATGTGTTTGACTTTTTCAAGTTTTTCGCATAGTTTTTATTTGGTTCGTGTGGATAAAATAATTGTTTTTGCTATTGGAAATGCTATTGACAATCGTGCATGACGTTAGGTAAAAAAAAAAAAAACGTCGATCGCGATTTAGTTGTTTTTTACAAGCATTTTTAAAATTATATTTCGACGAAAAACGTAAACATCGTGGCGTTTAAAACGATTTACCGTTGCGTACAGATATAAGTTAAATAACTCTGTGCATCCTAATTTTCCAACTTCTCGCCTACTAAAATAGCAAACCTATAAGAAGTGTCAGCTCTTGTTTTCATAAATACACACTATACATATATATTAATATTTAATATATTCGTCTTCGTTATACGTAAGTATTTGGCTTCGGTTAACAGAACAAATATTAAATATTTTATCCAAACTCAGCGTAACCTTATTATTTACTGTACACACTCTATGTACAAGTACACAAGAGTCAACATATTGACGCGTTAACATCGGTTTTACAAGTATAACGTGACGTGCGTACAATATAAATAGTATTTCGACAAAGCCGTTGACGAAATTAATAAAACGTTTTCGCGAGTGACACAATTATCATTAATAATTCGAACTACATTTAGAATTCGCAAATTATTGTGTGGACGGTGTGTACTAATATACGTATGCTACACGTTTTATCGGCAGTTTTGCCGCGCTTTTAATTATATTATATACAGTTCCGCAGAAATTGAATTATTTAATGCAGTAACACGATTTTTCGACGTTTTGACAAGGCTGATGTGCATTAACGCGTTGGAAAGTTAAAAGTTTCTTTAATCTTAACCTTTTACTTAGCTTTGATAATATTTGGTTTTATTGAATTAACTTTTTCATACCGATTTAATTATACATTATAACGAGTTAATTTTGATATCACTTACATTGGTTTAAATTTATTTTTATTTTAACACGATATTGAGTTTTAAATATCATACACTTTATTTGAATAAATAATATATATTTATTTGTTTTACTAAACAACGCGCATGATGGAATTTCGAGTATAAAATAAGATTTTGATAATCCTGTAGTGATCCCCGTGAGTTAAACATTTATTATCTTCTTATTTTCAAAAATGACAAACTCTATCGGTTTAATAGTTAGTTCTTAACTTAATTTATAGTCTCATATAAGTGCCTTTGAATTTTCAATGAGATAGGATGTAGTAAGTAATACTCATAATTTATACACGAATCGTTGAGTCTTATTTTGTTATACCTAACTCGACAATC